TGAACTGCTGTATGAAAAGTGAATTTACTCTGTAAATCTTCACCCAAATCCTAATAAAATAAATAAATAAATAAATAAATAAAATCCATGGTCTGTCCACTGCCTTGGTGTATGTAGGAGAAACCAAACATTAATCATCTACCGAACAATGGCTTTTGGTAGAAAATGTGTTGGCAGTGAGGTCCCAAGAACTGTGCCACAGGGAAGAGGTAATGACAGGGAGGAAGCGAGAAGAGAGCTGTTACATTGTGCGGAATCGCAGTCAATGTCACGAAATACAATGTGTATGAACTGCTGTATGGAAAAAGAATTTGCTCTGTAAACATTCACCCAAATCACAATAAAAGTTAAAGAAAAGAACTCATGCCAGTAATCTGCAAACGTCCCTAAAGAGTCAACGCTCACCCATGACCACACCTCATAGGGCTGTGCACCACACAACCATGCCTGGAGCCTCACCTAGCTGGGTACCAACTCCACCTGTGGAACCGGAAAAATACCCGCTTCCCAGGCCCTACTTCCCAGGAGTGAGTCCAAAGCTTGGACAAGGTTCAGAATCCCTGAAAAGCTCTCTTCCTCATACCTGGGGGAGTCACTTGAATCTTCTGGTCATCCAGCTCCTCCTCCTGTGGCACCAACGCCACGAAGTAAGGGGGGCAGTTCCGGCGGGGTGTGTACCTGCACACTGCCATGACCTCCTTCTCCAGACATCTGGTGAGCAGGGCACTGAACAGGGTTGTGCTCCCTGGAAAACAAAGGTCCCAGTAGTCCACCTCCTCAAGATGTCGCCGCCTGCTTTCCCTCTTATCCCTGTGAAAGCTTGAAATTTCTTTTCTGTTTTCTTCAAAGAGTTTACAATAGATAAGTGCTGATGGACTGGGAGCTGAGGGGAAAGTGAGGGGAAAGTGGAGGGGAGGAAAGGAGTGAGAGGTTTGGAGCCTAACATTTCATGTAGAAGTGCAAGTTAGTGTCTGCTGAGTTTCCACGGACACTGGGCCAATGACACAAGCCCTGACAGCTCATGGAAACCAAGCGGGTCAGACGCAGGGTGCTCACTGGCTACGGCACAGGGCTGCACAGCACCAGGTCGCACAATGGCAGCGTTCCCATCATCTTCCCACTTTTAGGGAAGCAGCTGGCTGCGTGTGTGGGAGTTTGTACCTTCCATCTGGGGCCTCAGAGAAAGAATTTTGTAGGGCACACATGTGAGAAAAACACTGAATGAAGTCTACATGCCCCTCCTGCATAGGCAGTAATGAAAGGCCCAAAAGAAACCTTTGAATCTTTGGTTAGTCCAGCTTTTCCAGAATTTATCTCAGCATGAAACATTTCCAAGTACCCTACTAACATCTGAAACAGTTTCCAAGTAGTACCCATTTGGGAAACGCTGCTCCATAAACTACAGTCTGGATCCGAGCCCCACCTTTATCCCTAGTCCAGGCCACTCACCATTCACCAGCGCTTCCTCGGGGTACACAAACAGGGCCGGCCTCAGGTAATGGTGCTTCTTCAGCATGATCAAGGGCTTGAAACCGATGAGGATCAAACCTGGCTCATCAAACTGTTTTAGCTGTTCAGTTTCCTCTTTCTCTAGTACAATCTGACGACTCCCATAGGTCTTTAAACAAAATGAAAACAGTGCTGTCATGCAGAATCTGACTCACAGTAACCCTGTGTGTCAGCGTGGAAGTGTGCTCACGGGGCTGGCCGTGGCTCACAGCGACCCCGTGGGTGTCAGCGTGGAAGTGTGCTC